CAATATATTGCTTAATACAGTAACGTGATAGATTAGAAAAAAAACATGCCTCTTGACTAAATATGAGTGGGACCATTTTGTCCATATCTAGTTATGACTAATAATTAACTTACATGCTACATAATAAACCAAATAATGCTAAAAGAAGATATCTTCTTTGATTGACTTCTCTTTGCTTAAATAAAACACGACATGAATCTTTAATATCATTACAAAAAAATAAAATTTCATAAAAATTCTTGTATAATTTAATATTTTCATTTGGATGAATAACTTCTTTAACATAAAATATAATATAGATAATATTAATAAAATGAATAAAAATAATAAATAAAAAACAATATTGAAAATTTGTTAAATCAATTAATATTCCACTTAATATTAAACCAATTGTTGAACCAAACATTAAACATGATTCAATAATTGCAATACGTTGTGTACGATTTTCAATTGTTGTTATATGTGATATATAATTATAAATAATTGAAAACATTGTTGATGTTGAACCAAATAAACTAAGAAATAAATTTGATAAAAATAAAATTTCTAATGATAAATTATATTTTATAATTGATACAAATAAATTAACTATAGTTGATAATATACAACCAATACTTGCAAATATCATTGGAATTTTATGAGAATATTTATCTGACCATATACCACATATTATAGCAATAAATATTGATGGAATAGAATAAATAAAATTAAAATACATTACATAAATAGATGCATATTTTTGTATAATATCTTCCATATTTTCATAAATATATGTTTTATTGATTTTAATTTCATTCATTGAATTACATAATGATATATTATATAGTTTATAACAAACTTGTCGATAAAGAAGTGCTTCATCTGTTGGAATATTTACATAAATTGCTAACATATAAAGAAAAACAACAGGTTCTATACTAATAGAATTCCACCAAGGAATAGTTTTTTTCGATGTAAGATCTATGTTTACTTTTTTTTCATTTGATCTTATCATGATTTTCAAACATATCAAATATCATAGACATGTGATGCTATAAATACACACATAATCAATCAATCAAGGATTCGTTATTCTTTTGAATTGAAGATTTTCTTACAATTAGAGGTCGCTATTCAACAGAGAAAATTATTCTTTTTTATTTATATCAAATCAATGACAAATTTTAACAGTTTCCAGAGAGTTATAATATGTATAGATGTGAATGAATATGAGACAATTTATCTTGATATTTCAACAGATAATACAAAAATAAAACGACGGTAGAAGAAAATCTGTCTCTAACTAATTCTCATGAGGGAAGTCTCACAACTGATTAGTTGACTTTAAGTCAAGACTATGCACATCATATAGACACTAATAAGCTATGGATACCTTGAGAAGAGCTCAGACTCTTAGCTGATTGCTGTAGACATCATGCATTTATACGGTACTTTTTCAAAGCCAAAGCCGTGACCCCGTTGGGACATAGAATTACGGCATTCATTTTGAAAAAATACCGTAAAAATGCAGTATCTTAACATTGAACTTTTTCAGGGTATTCATAACTGATTAGGACCTACATGATGCACATAGCCCTTACTGCAAAGTGATTAATTAGTTGAGAAACTTTCCTCATTAGATAGTAGTTACGAAATGGCTAACAATCAATTAATTTTCTTTGTATAATGTTTTATTACATATTTCAGAGTCAATAATCATTTATATTATTTTCAAAAACTATATTACACAATAAAGAACGTTATAGACTGTTGGATAGGAGAATTATTTACAACTAGATAATCCTAATATTAGATATAACTATATGTGTTAACATACATAAAACCAATTTTATTCGTTGAAGATCATTTATTCAGATTTTTAATAAAAGGTATAATGTTTATGTTTCTTACTAGTCAACTGAATGATAGGAGAAATCGCTAATGAATTACTAAGACTTTTGAGATAAATATGAATTGTATAAGGTTTATTTATGATCTGTGTTTTAAATTTTAAGTGATGTTGTCTCCTTTTGCTTTCTTTCTTTTTTTTTGCGTTTTCAAATTTCCAGGTATCTTCTGTATATAAAGTGTGCGTGTTTTAAAAGAGCAAAGCGGTATAAGTAGAATTATTCTTAACAGTTTTCATCTACATCATCTTTATCTTTATTGATGGTGTGAAAAAAATTATTATTATGAGCACTAAATAATATGTCGTAAAGTATCATAAGATCCTTGAAAAACAAAAAGAACAAACTAATCCCAAATATTTTTAGAGTTTTAATGATGGCTCTCAATGCTCGTACATGATATCATAAATAACAAGAAGATTTACTGTTTCTTTCTTTGTTCACCTTCTGATGTGTATTGAGTTAAAAGGGCTCGATATAATCGAATCATGGATATTCATAGTTTTATGACAAAATTAATTGCTACCAAACATACAATAATTAGAGTACAAGCAATATTTTGATGCACTTGATTATTTCAATCATCACAAAGATCCCAATGAAATTAGATATAGAAGAGATTATAATAAATAACAATTCATAATTATATTTCAGAAAAACGGATCAAAATCTTTAAAATTGTATAGTACTTTCTTAAAGCATCTTCGCATACATCAATACTCAATTCTAAAAATCGTAAAATCCTAGCGTAAAATCTGCTATTGTATGATTAAATATAGTTGTTGATAATTAAATTACTCATTTTATATAAAAAAAAAAAAGTTCAATTGAAAACGGACATGATTCAGTTTCTTTTTTGCTCCTATTCCACACTAATTAAAGAGAAAGTCGTTCACACTCTCTTTTTAGAACGATAAACTATGAAGAAAAGTCAATATAATGCTATTAACAAATGCGTATGTGAGGAGTAGTAGAGGAATAATCAGCTAAGTTAGAACTGCGAAACAAATGGTAGGAGAGATTTTGTCAATGGTATTGCAACATCTCAAATGTTGTCAATTTTTTATTAAATTTGTAGCTGTCGTTCTGTGCGGCTTCTATCTCATTTCGGTATCTAGTAGAAAAAAGTGAAACAGTGAAAGACATTGAAAGAAACTTTTGCAAAGTAAAGTCACTCAACGTTTGTGTGAAGCACAACCATTTCAAATGTACATCAGTGCAAATAAAAACAGCAGAGCTATTTCTTATCGTTTTGATAAAATATTTTGGATTGCCTTTGACTACCTGTCGCGTTAGATGAATTTGTAATTTCTGGTGAAATTTGATGTAGAACATGGCTTTCAATTTTTTTAATGTATGGACTAATACAGAAACACTTGCTTCGTTTCATCTGTCCTTAATAAATTCTTTGTCTGTTAAAAAAAGACACATCAATATTTTTCTCAGTTGAACTCGTATTAGTTGTCACATTCACTAAGAAAAGACTCTTGCTAAATGATGTTACTTTCACGTTAATAAGAGAAATGATTTTATTTTAATAAATATCAAAATATTGACGATTTCTTTTTATCATTAGAAACATCTTTTTAAATCTTCTATCAAAATACTCAAAAGTTTGATGTTATTTGATCGAATCTCATAGTGTAAAGTATTCATAATAACAACTTTTGTTACGATCTAACGGATACAATGTATAAGAAATAGAAAAATCAAGTTTTTCTTGCCAAAAGATAGTATATTTGTATTTGTACTAGTAAGCCTTGAGTACATAAAAGAGGATGTTTATTAAGATTGTTGTAATTTACTTGTGTGAAGACTACTGCCTGTATAAAGAAAATCAATATTTTTGAATTGTATAACTGCTAGCAAAGAGGATGCATCATCTTCTGCGGTGAATAAAGTTTGTACACCTGTCGTATGCTCAAAAGAAGTTTTGATTTTACAATTTCGACTGATTCAATACATGAAAAAAAACTGTGAACCTTAATGAGCTGCTTCAATAGGAGATCATTTTTTCACAGTTGTGAATGTCTTTGATATAATGCGTTTATGTTTGTGAATGCGATTTAGTGAAGGTGTAGGTGTGCATGTTTTCTCTTTACCCATACTCACGGTCTATACCCAAAACATGGATTTCTCGAAGGCTTCAAAAAACCTGTCAGTTCTCACATGTGGTCAATATCTTGTGCTATCTCGTTCATAAAAAAATGCACCTTCGTATTATGTTTTAAAAGTTTCTGCTTGATAGATAAAAGACTAAGAGAGTTTTAGTGATCTCATTTCTATTTTGCAAAAACAAAAAAAAAACGTTAAGAGATTCACGGTGTCTGAAAAGCTATACTATGGAAATGAGACCTGAAACAAATGATAAAACTTACTTTTTTGTGTACTAGCTCACAGCCTTCAGTATCGTAATAGGATAATATAGACAACTCTGACTGGCATGACTATGGGCTAGTTTTCCAAGAGTCTTGCATAATATTCCTTAAAGAACTCATCGAAAGTTTGTTTTTTACTTTATATCCACTCGCTTCACTTAGGCTTTCGAATGCAGAATACTGTGTGTGGATAGCTACTTATGTTTCAGAGTTATTCATATGAAACTTACCGTTCCCTTTACATTGAATTCTTCGAATATTCTTGATTTCTCGATCTTAATCAAGCTCTATATGCTTTAAATAACGTCAATTATAATCTATATTGCAAATCAATAGATATTACGGTGAAACATATCGTGTTACCTGTCATGAAATTATTTGAAATAAATAATACTTATTATCTTCCGATTAACTTCAATCTAAACTAATGTGTTATGGATTCTTTTAATTTCTAGATTTAAAACCAGCTGAAAGTCAAAAAATTGAAAATATATCAGCTTTTTATGTGGAAATTCAAAAGATAAAAAGAACACAACTGCACAAACAAACCAAAAATATTAATAGAGAATGTAAAAAAATAAAATTTACAATCAAACATGGAAGAAAGTAGTAAAAATCAAAAATATATGTCAGATCAAGCAGCTCATGATTAAAAAATAGTGTTTGAAACGGACAAAACAATTCATTTACCGTTTTCAAACTCTGATTGTAGGACATTGGAATATTTTTTTTTGTTTTATGATTCTCTTAATTTCTGCACTTCATACTCTATACGATTAGCCATTCTGATTTCAATATCAGCTAGTTGACGTTGTCCTTCATGCATATGTGTTTCTGCTTGTTGTTGATATTTTTTAACAACTAGTTCAACCAATTTATCGACGAGATCGTCGACGTTACTATAACGTGTTATTCCATCGACTAGTTTAGTATCATCTTCAATCGTATAAATTAATAGATTGTTTGAACCTAAACGTTGTATTAATAGTTGAAATACATCATTGTTTCTTGTGAATAAACATGCAGGCTTCTTGATAAGCTGAATGATTTTATCGATTGATAAATTATCAATCACGGATATTGTTTCTGACGGAAGAAATATTTGAAGAAAGTGTAAAATACTTGTCACTGTCAAGTTCATAGCTGTTGAGAGATCAATAAGAACAAATTGAATATCATCGACAAAAGCTATACAAAAAACAACATCGAATAATAATTACTGAGAGTTTCTTATACCTCCCATAGTGTATATTGCAATATCAAAATTATGATTTGCAGATATGTATATTCTAATCGGAAAGAGAAAACAATTCTCAACCAATACATCCACTGTTTGTACAATATAATGACACTGTGCGCTTATGTATTTTTTAGTTTAACTCACATCAAGTTAAGAAGCGACTCGCTTTCTTTTTTATGCTAATTATTTTCGGTATTTGTGTAGAGAAAATGAAACTGTATAAACTTTCTAATCTTTTACCAACGCAATCATTTGCATAGAGCTACGACTTTGACAAGCTTCATGCATCTTTTCGACTGTCTATCGGTGTAGAATTTAGAGGAAATTTCAAACAAAGGATTCTACTCTGTCACTAGTTTGTTCTCATGTATGCACTTGACGCAATAAATCTCACATTCAGAATTAACGTGAAAATCTTCACTGGATCACATGTGTTTTATCAAAATAAATTTTGCATGGAAAATGCAGTTTTAACTCATTTCTCCTCAATAGTTTTGTTCTAAGATTTAGCCAGTCATTCTCTATGAAGCCAATTTTCTATTATAAATGGAATCTGCTAGAATGCATGTGATTCGGTGTAGATTCTCACTTTGATTCTGACTATGTTGTCGATTGATTTAGGTGTATATTAATATGTGCGAACATAGACTAGTGATAGTAATTATTTATCTATCAAAGTGTGTATTGTTATAATATCATCTTGTAACTTTATATACTGTTTTGTAGCTTATTAAATGTGTTTTTTTGTGCAATGTCTTTTACAATATAATGGAAACTTGTTTTTTTTTTTTTGAAAATCTAGCTAGAATAAAAATTCTACTCCGCTCACAACATAGATCTTTAGAAAATACAGATGGACATGTAAAAATGCACTTAATAAGAAAATATCAAAAGTTGTACCAGGCTCGAATAAAAGACGACCCGCATTTTCGTCCCTGTTTCTTCGAAATACTAAGAGCGATCGAGCTGAAAGTTATTTATAAGGACTAGGTAATTTTTGTTTGGAGTCGAGAGGGAATTCTTTTGTTTTTTTTACCCTGTTGTCCTCAAATACAAAGATCAGATTACGGTATGTACCATAAAAAACGTTTATCTTCTGATTGAAACATAGTTTGTAAAATTTACTAAAAATCATCAGAAAAGTGATTTTTTTTCCCTGCTAAATAGGCTCTAGTATCTGTGAAAAATTTTCAACTCAATTAGACGTAGATATTTCAGAAATGGAGGCGGCTCAGCACTTTTTAGTGAAAAAATTGATTTTTAGAAAAATGCAACACAAAATTGAATTTCCATCTTTTTCTAATTATTCATGGTCTGTCTCTTGGCATCAAAGTCTGCTGTAAGTTCTAGACTACAGTGGGTACAATGCAAATGTTTTTAAAGGCAGATACTTCTCCTAAAAGTGACCTGCAATGAGAAAAATTCAAACACTGTTGGGAATAGGAGCTTCAAAAAATTCGATTACTGGAAGCTAGATGAAGTGAAAAAAGTTCTTTTACTGCAGAACGCTAGAAAAACTTGAGAGTACTTATAGGAATCCAAAATCCAAAATCAACATTAGTGTTTTTAAACTTTTTGGATAATTAATTTATGAGATAGTATGTTTAACAACTTACCTATAGTCTCATCTGTTCTTTGATCATCTTTTAAATTCTGCGACTTTTCAATGAGACCATTTGGACCTTGAAGCATTTCGAGACACCTTCTAACTGGAGGATTCGGGCTATTTGCATCATTAGCATGTGTTTCCAGTGTTTCAGCAGTTACGAAACATTTTCGAGCACTTTCACCATCGTATACTGCTAGATATGAACGTCCCAAACGAATAAATTCCTGTGAAATATCGCGAGTTAGACGAATCAGCAGATCAGTTTCATGGTCAAAGATTTTCAAACAATGTAAATAGTCCATAGCCCAGTCAAGGTAATTAAGTATATTAGCACAGAAAAAGTAGTAAGAATAAACACGTGGATAATTTTTATAAATCAATGGAACTGCATCTTTGCCTAATGATCCTGAAGAGATCAAAATGATTCTCTTGTCAGTTTCATTTTGAATCAAAGCCAAAGCATCATCTATATTCGAAACAAACTTAATCGGAGCGACTTCTTGCTCGAAACATAATATAAGATTATTAATAGAATTCGGTGGTAAACCATTAATCGGTTTAAGACTCTTTTGAAATTTCTCTTTGAAAGTTTGATATTCTCCAAGAATTCCTATATGAAGATCAAGCCAGATACAATAAATACCATTCTCATCGCTCATCTCTACCAATAAAAATAATTGTTATATGTACTAAAAAGATTACAATACGCATGTAAATAAGTTTGATTCAGTATAGTTTTTGATAATTAAAGTAAAAAATGTCTATGGACTTGCAAAGCTTCAATGTCAACAATTCATTTAAATTAACTACAAATTAAGTAAAACTAACTTGTTGAAATAGCTGCTCAGTGTAATGATAATAATATCGAATAGAAAGCAGCATTCACTTTATTTTGAAACGATTAGATTTTTTGTCCAATGGAATAAGATCTTACAAGATCATACATCTCACTTTTTTTTTACTTAGGTAAAATATATTGAGAACGTCATTTTTTCTTCACTCGTTCTTGGATAAAGTTCATAGTGTAACATTTGCTAGTCACGATCTACAATACTGGACAGAATTATAACATTTTCTGCCAATTTTCAATCGTTCAGCTATTTACATGCAATGCCAGTGTTATCAGTGAATTTGTTTAAAATGATTATTCTAAGCTTTGAAATTGATTTGGAACGCTTTCTGTATTCCATCTATGCATGATTCTTTTTCTTTTCTTTCTAATAAGGTAGGAAACAAGAAGATGATTAGTAGTTGCCGTTTTTTTGTCAAGCTGAGCGTCTTGTTTGCGTACCAGTATTAGAAAGAAAAGATAAGAAACCGAACTACGTATAGTTGTGTCTGTTGTTGTAATTTCTGCACTAAAGAAGGTAGTCCGGTCTTATAGAGCTTCTGCTTGTACAGAACAATAGCATTATGCAAATTTTTGTTTTGCATCTTGCTGAATTTTCACGTTTTTTTTTCTCTGAATCTATTTGAGTCTATCCCATTTCTTCTTGATACATGTTAGATTTAATTTTTTGTTGCAACTTTTCTCATTAAATCTACAATTTCCTCTCCTTTCTGAATGAGGTAGATAATATTGATGGAAGCTTCGAAGATATGCAACCAAAAAATTAGATTGAATTGAAAAAAACATGATCGAACAAGGTCGGACAGATTTTCGTCCACTTTGATCTATTCATACATATTCAAAGATCATTTTGTTTTTTTAAAACAATAAATACACTCAACAGTAGATTTTATAGAGTGAAATTGCTCATCAAAGATTGAAATAAATGAACCTAAGAATAAACATAAAATTGATACTTGAAAGATGAGAATTTTATGAACTGTGTGCATGTTTCAAAGTTGAACGAGCGGAAACTGATCTCTGAGAAAAATATCCAAAAAAATTTATTTGAAAGAAAGAGTTAAACAGATGTAAAATAAATAAATGGCCACTATCACTCAGTAATCTCGAGATTATTATAAATATGGTGTTTTTCTGATATACGTCTGTCGTTAAAAATTAACATATCTTTTTATTATAAAACGTATCATAGATAAAAATTGTACTAAGATTTGAAATAAACAATCCTCCATATATTGCTGAATTTATCATATAATACTTAAATTATAAGATATCTCTACGTCATTTGGTTACACATTCACAATCAAGACTTCTGTGTATAACAATTAGATGACCTTGATTAAAACTTATAAACTGTTATTCTTGTCTCCAAGTTTACATCTGAAAATTAGAACCTTTATTCTTTGGTTTCAGATCTCTCGGCTATTTTTCATAACAAACAATTTTCGTTCGGTCTTTTTTCTCTGTTTCTTAAGGTTCAACTGCTACTCAATGGTTATCCAAGTAGGATAATCAGAACTGTCGTTCAGCAAAAAGACTTAGAGATGATAATTAGTATTTTATGAAGCTTTTTTCAGATAAACTAACAGATGATCTGTAGTTTGTTAGTACTTATCAAGTAGAATATTTTTTCAACTTCTTTTGCTTTGCATAATTTCTTTTGGTTTTTTTCCTGATATGTTTGTAATAAAGAGGAGAACCAAATAGAGGCATCTGTTTTGGTTCCGACCTAATTTTCTAATATTGAATTCGGATTTGATTTCAGTCTCTTTTGTGTGAAATCTTTTTCCTATGTTAACTCTACTAATATAGAAAAGAAGGAAATTTGCTCAAGAAGACTGGCATACTCGCTTATTATTACAATACTGTGTTCACATAAATAGCTAAGCCACTCTAGACTGACAGTATTCGTATAAATGAAAACCTACCTTGTTTTTTATCGTTCAAGATTTTTAGAATGTTCCTAATTTCGTGCGGTTGAGTTTTTCTTCAAAAACAAGATGGGAAACTAAGTTTATCTTGGAATATCTTATATAAAATCGTTGACCTACTTTTATCGACGTTTAGACTATTTGCTGTGAGAATGTTGATTAAAAGCCTTTTGACGCACTTATTTTATATACACATCTGGGAAAATTCCTACTCTATTTTAAAATAAACATTGAATAAAAAATTTCCAAGCCATTAAAATATTTCGTTACATCATTGCAAGTGCACTCTTGTTTAGCGTACTGGTCATACTGTTTTTTTTCCAACCATATTGCAGTTATCGTTTATGACAAACACCTTTATTGCATTGTACTAGACAGATCGTTCCATTTACAATGTTGGAAATACAACTATACAACTATGTATTTGGGGCAGTAGTTTTTCTTTGATATTTTGGTTTATTTATACTGTATCGATACCAAGTTACCACGTCAGGCAATCATATGATTCTGAGCATCCGCCAATCAGAACAGAATCCATCAAATACCAAAACTACCTTCATAGTTACTAAATAAGGCACGTCACAAAAATTTTAAAAACATCTAAATACTCATACACGTGCCGTGTTCTGCGAACCGACACAATCATGAAAATAGAAATACCCTTACCACAAAGAAATGATTACATTAAAATGCACTTTATAAAATATAAACCATTGTATCGTTTGAAAGACCTTGCTTCAGAGAAAACCTTGCAATCAGTTTCTCCAAACAATTTTATAATTTAAGGCATACGCTTTTTTTAATTAATAAACAAATATCATTACTATGCCAAGCAAGAACCTTTTTCCTTTTGTATACCAATATGGAAATTTCTACTGTGTGTTTTCACATTCCAAACTGAATTATGTATCTTACAGACTAGTTGGTATCTACAGGCAATATTTCAAAATATTGAAAATCTCTATTGTAACTGTTACTATAATGGCGGCATCATGCGAAAATTCTTCTAGCTCTGTACCGGAATATCGTTCAGAGAGACAGATTGGTCCAGTAGCTAGTCCACTCAATTCTGCATTATGTTATGATCTTTGCCTATCCGGACAATAGTTAAGCAGATGGACACAGAAAGAACTTGGTAGTGACGGTGAAAAAGAGTTTTTTTTTTTTGGGGTCGACTGATTGAAGAAAGAGCTCCCTCAATTCTACATTGATTTATGCAGTAATGCTCATTTCTACGAAAGAAGCCTCCATGGAAACTTTGTACGTCTCATCATAATATATGACTTAGGGTTAGACTTCTGCGTGACCACGATTTTTCAGTCACGTCACGTTACGGTCACGTTCGTCGTCACGAAAATTTTTCGAAACTAATCACGGTTACGTCACGGTCACGGAGATTTTGGATTACTAGCTCAATTTTTGTGCTAAAAAATCAAGATTTAAATTGATTTCGTAGATTTCTTCTGTAGTAAAACAAAGAAAACCCGTAAATCAATTAAAATCTTGATTTTTTTTCACAAAAATCAGATTTTTAATATTAAAATTGTTCACCAATAAGTCACGGTCACGATCCCAGTCACGACAATTTTTCGAAAACTAGTCACGGTCACGAGAGACCATGACCGTGACCGTGACCATTTTGCAGAAGTCTACTTAGGGTCCTTTAACATGAGAGGGAATTACTTCATAATAATGAATCTTTAGGTCATGATTGAAGAGAAAAATGACCATCTCTTACTAAAAGGAAAAAACTTGGTCATCTGCTCAAATCTTCAAAGAGATTATACATCTTTGTCATCAATTTTACATGAAATTAGATTAAACATTAACACTTCCAAAATTAAATTTCACTTTAGTTCAATTTAATGAATAATTTCTTTGAAGAATAGGTAGCAAAGATAATTTATTAGGCGAAAAAGTATTCAATGAAATGGTTACGAAAAAGACAGAACGCAAAATAACTAAAATAAATGAAACAAACAAACAAATGATGAATTTTATTCAATTTACCAAACAAATTCAGTCTATAGCAAACAAAATCAGAATAACAAAGAATATCTTTACCAACATTGGCAGCACGCCATAGTAGCGCAGGTGTACATTTGCTACCCCTAATAATCCATATTCTGGTAGTTGTTAGAAGAATGTTTATGCATCATGAGACTTGTTTTATTTTCTTCTGAAGCTCTACTTTCATCATGTAATGCATGGGCGGTGCACCAAAATGAGAAGGGGCAACTATTGCTTCGTTTAGAAAAAGTTGGCAAAGCAATAACAATATATACTACTACCCTAAATGACTCATGCTTTCTTTGTATACTAGAGTAAAATTACCTAAGTCAACATACATATTCAATATGATTTTGTAGTTAATATGGGAAGATTGATCCAGTCTCACGAATATGTTTATTGTCATCCTGATAAATGCGTTTCGTGTTATCACATTCGACAAATGATTTTTTCAGTCTTACATAATCGACATTTTGGTTATTTTCGATTCTTTTCTTTCATAATCAATGATGTTAAAAGTTTTTTTCTAGATCAGAACCAAAGGTGTAAATGTAAGTCGTCTCTCATCTCTCTAAGATTGACTAAATGATACCTGACTATTTCGATCAGAAGAATTGAAGTCTGATTAACCAACATCGACTGGATGAAACGCAATAGCTGATCTTCTATGCTATTTTTTATTAATAAGAATAGATAGAATATTAGGCATTTCTTGTTTTCTTTTAAATTTACAATTCAGAGTTTTGAAATTTAAAATTAAAATTTCTGAAAAAAAAACAAATTTACCTATTATTTCACAATGAAAGAGGGTATCGACTAGCTGCTAACAATAAATTGTTAAACAATCTGACAAACAGCATCTTCGTCG